CAAGGTCAGCTGAGAAATCTTGCTGCAGTCATGGAAGGAGCCACGGTTATTAAGGCATCACACCACGAAATCATGTCTATCAATAATCCTCTTTACCTGAGCTGCCTTGTAACACTTGATTGAGCAGATGCATCCTTGTAATTGCACAGCTTCAGCCACAAAGCTGAAATTGGCTGGCTTTTTGGTAAGTATTACTCCTATTGTTTCCCAGTGTGCCTGAGCCGTTAGTAGTGACTTCAGGGATAACTGGAGCGGTGTCTGACACACAGGAGTGTTGCAAGGAGAATTCAGGTTATTGTAGCCTCCAAGAGATCTTGTTAGAGCGTGGAGAGCAAACATGCAGAGTAGATTGCCTGTATCTTTGATAGAGTAGGTGGAGGGAGAAGTAGATGGATGCTGTGCACATTTGTGACCATCTAAACTAAAGCCTGCGTGTATGTGCTTACAAGGCCATGCCAGGTGCAAACAAAACCCCTATATTCTTTCTGATTCTGCATTTGAGAACCTCTCCTCTTTATTTTTTTTCCTGAGCCTGCTTAGCTGAGTCATGCTGTTATTCACTTTGGGACTCCTGTACTTCAATACGCAGGACGATCATGTGGACTATTCCAGTGGCAGCTGGTAGTCATATGTGTTGCCACAGCCAGCTACCTAAGTATTAGCAGAAATCTAAAATAATGCAAAGCAAAATGTAGCCCCAACAGTTAGCACTGTAGATAGGTCTTGGTAGCATGCATGTTAAAAGTGTATTACTTCTGATGGTGGTAGGAGCAGCAGGAAAGGCTGTATTTTATAATGATGAAACTCCTTCTCCTGGACAGAAATAGCATAACACCTTGAAAATAGTTGTATTAAATTTTGTTTCTAAACCTAAAGAGACACCTTTATTGGCACCACAGAAGTCAAGGACAGTGCAGAGATGCACTGTTCAAGCGGTAGCTCAGAAGTGGGTTATATTTGAGGGAGGGGTGCTGGCACTAGTGAAGGTAAACTGTGACTCCACCCCGGCAGTGTTTGATTGTCTCCAGTTTTCTGTGGGATGTGCAGTAAGAGAAGTTTGGTGTTTCTGCCTGTCCCCAAACCATGTGTTGAAGATCACTCACAACCTAGGTGTGGAAGGTATTTTGGCTTTATTATAGCCTGTCAGTTTCAAATATAATTGCTTTTCTTACTTATCACCACTTTTTCAGAGAGCTGCTGGCTTTTGTACACAGAGGGATTTTTCTTGGGCCTAGGCAATGCAGAATGGACAGGGTTTTATCTCAACATCAAAGAGAGGAGAAATTCAGCCTTGCAGCATACAGCTCGCATGTTTCTTCTCCAAGGCAGGCTACCATTTCTCAGCTGGCTCTGGCTTCTGTCTTCCTAAGATAAAAAATATGGTCTAAAAATGAAATCAAGTGAAGATGTTGGGCAGCACATTTGAAGGTGTAGAAGGCCTCTGGAATTTTCTTAAAAGCTCAACCTGACTGAGTCACCTATTGGTAATAGCAAATGGCTATTGACAACCCATGATTTTCACTTCCACCAATGACATTTTGTCTAAAATTTTCAGGTGTGAGACCAACAGCAGATTTTACAAAAAACAGAATCAGTAATAGGTAACTGAGGTTAATTATCATACTCATTCTGCCTTTGACAAGTAATTCAGTGACCCATTTTCATCTGGATGAAAGCACACTTTACAACACTTTAAGAAATTACCCTTCAATTTGAGCTCAGTGCATATTCAGAAAAGGGCAGCTCTAGCTTCTTGTCAGCACAGGTGATGGCCTCATCTTGCATCCCGGAAAATGGTTTTACATTACTAGAATATCAGTCATAGCCAGCTGGCCTGTAATTGTAATGTGGCTTAGTGCATTCGAAAAAATGGAATGTAACTTTATGGCAAGTGGATAGTCTGGCAAATAAGCAGTTATGGGAACAGTTTAGATGCCAGTTTGCTCACTTGGATGAAAAGGGCCCAGCAAAGGAGAAGTCTGAAAGGATGTGAGCTCAACTGCCTCCAATACACAAAAAATTCTGTCTGCTGAGTTCTCATTATCTTAGTTAGAGAAGAAATATACAGGAAATAGGGGTTTTGAACCCAAACAACCACTTCCAAAGACCTTTGCATGAGCTGATTACTTGTTAATAAGTGAGAGGGATCACTAAGTGACACAGCACAAAGTTCCCAGACTTCAATTTTTCTTTAAATATTTCATACTGCCAGGAATTTCTTTAGAAATGACCTCATTTTCCAGGCTTTCCTCACCTACATCAGAGAGCTGAATGTGCTTGGAACTTGCTTCATACCACATGGAAGACTAGTTTTTACCAGTTAGCCTAATTGAGTAAATAGATTTACAGAACAATTGTCTGCTTTTCACCTGCAGCACTTTGTGGTTTATACTGATTGAAAAAATAGTTCACCGTATAAAATTGGGTCTTGGAGTAGTGCAGAAAAGATCTGATTAACAGAATGAGTTTCTATTCATTATCCCACTTTCACATCTAGAAATGCATAATGGTCACTTTTCCTTGCCATCACTGCATGTGTCGTGGAAGCAAACAATGACAAAAGAGCCTCCTCCTGAGCAGCAGAGAACAGCAGGGCTTAAAAGAATTTAGAGGCATGCTTCTATTAAATTACAGAGGCAAGAGAATTTGCCCATTTGCTGTAAGAGAAAGGATTTGACCCTCATATTAAAGCTATGTTAGTATGAAAGGACTTTATTTTCCCAAGATGTGTGTTTGTTGGCCTACATTTTGGAGCCATTAGCTTGATATTCCAAAAGTTTAGAGATGTAAGGATGATGTCTAGAAAAAACTGAATGTGGTTTTCAGTGGACTTGCACTCTCATGCACCTGAAAAATGTGCTATGACTTCATGTGAGTATCTTGTGTGCCATCTGAGGGACCCTTTCCTACAGTTTGGTAGGCTCTGCACTTCATTAGAGAAATCTTCACCAAAAACTTTTAATCCTGGCAGCTTTCCTAGTAGAATCAGTCTTTTGAGAATCTGGGTAATCAGTAATGACAAAACCAGCCTTGGTGCTAGTATTTCACATGATAAATTGCAGAGATCTAGGCTTCACTTACATTTGTCAACAGTGACTTTCCACTGAAGTGCAAGGTATTTGAAAAATTACCTCTAATGTTTCGGGCTAGGGGGAGAAGTACTTTTTCAAACTATGAGAACATTTCCCTCATGCACCCTGAAACCAACAGGGAGAAAGGAAAGCAGGACAGGGGTGGGAGTACACTTGAGTCTCTAAAGGTAGGGTTGAATAGCCACATGCCAAATTATTTAAGTTTTATTTCTGTGAGCCATGCCATGTAATGATAATGTTTTTTTGTTAATGATACAGTGAGCCACAGAAGAGTTAAGAGTTTCTTTTCTTTAAATCTGCCCTTTCTTGGCTGCTGTGTCTAGGACTGTCCTAGTTCTCATCTTGTTCCTTAATTGTATGTGCTCTATCATGGATCCTGCCCATCTTCTCTCACATCCTCAATGATATGTCTACAGGACCCGCTGCTGGTCCGCATTCTCTCTCTCTCTCTCTCTCTGCATCGCTCATCTCTGCTGCAGACACAGATGCGATCTATGTGGTGGATTACTCAGCTCTGTTTTGCCTCTCCACTGTTCCTTCTGTCCAATATAGAACTCAATCTGGGGCTCCAACATTTTGTGGTGGGGTGACTGGTGACTTGGAGTAAGCACTACTTTTTGTCAGCCTCAAGGTCCTCTCTACTGCCCCCTTCTTTGGGGGGGACATTCACCCCACCTGTTATGGCTGCCCATGGGCTAAATGCAGGTCTTGCCTGAGGATGCTGTTCCAGGATAGGCATTTCTAGAGGGCAAATTTTTCCATCTGTTTCTAGCATCAGCTTTTGATTGTTACAATTAGATGATGTGAATGCCACCCCAAAACCCCTGGTTAACATGGATGGAGAATGAGGTGAAATGTGATGTGTGTAACTATCTTAGCTGGTGCTTCAGTGGGGAGAATAGGCAAAATGTTGTCACTGCTAAATGGTGATTCTGATTTTCTTCGAATGCTGGGTGTAAACTAGAAGAGGTAATGTGGAATTTAAGTTGGAGGGTTAGATGGCAAGAGTTCAAATGTCACCTGCGCTGATCTCGCTATTAGATCAAAGGCCCCTGCTGCTCCCAGAAGTGCAACACAGTGCTAGGCAGGATTTTTTTTTACCCATTTACAAGGTTTTGTTTCTGTGGCATGTTTGTTAAAAATCTAGAGTACAGAGTGAAAGCAAAACAAAAGTTGTCAACTGAATTACTGACAAAAATAAACCTCTTTCTGGAAGGTGCCAGAGCTGCTGAGGTATGAACTGGGTAGCCAGTGGGATGTTTCCCTGGACTGGATGAGACCCTCTGCACTGACCCCAAATTTTGCAGTGGGCTGGGATGTGTCTTTCCCACTATTCTTCTCAGCTTCTGCTCCTCAGCTTCTGTGACTGTTGAAATTGTCCCCTGTATTTTGGCTCTCAACTATGTTGTCTTTCAGAAATTACCAGCTTCCCACATCAGGATAAGCCCATCTCCTCTGTGTCTTTTGTCTTGTTACAATGCCACCTCAAAGGGAGGGCAGGCGTTCCTTGGGATTGTGGCAATTATTGCTGTGTGATCCAAGTAGGGTGTAAGGTAAAAAAGTTATGTGTGTATTCCATAGCTTATTTCTGAGAATGGCAAAGGAGTTCAACAAATTTGGAGATCTTCCCCTGTGACAGACTGTGCTGGACCCTGATGTATTTAGTCTAGGTGATGTACCAGTACAAAAATTTGCTTCACATTCAAACTCCTAATGGAAGAAACCTACTGTTCTCCGTCTGCACCCAGTCATACAAAATTCCTGAGGTAAGGTCAACAAGGCACGCAAACAGAGCTGTTGACTGTGGGGATGGAGGACAAACTGGTCCAAAGAAGGAAGAAAAAAAAATTGTCTGAGGGAAGGGAACCATGTGCTGAGTTACAGGAAAATCTTTGTTTCTAACTCTAGGTCCTTCTTCAGTTATCAGCAATGACGATGATTCAGCCAGTCCCCTCCACCACATCTCAAATGGCAGTAACACTCCGTCTTCTTCTGAGGGAGGTCCTGATGCAGTCATCATTGGGATGACGAAGATTCCCGTCATTGAAAATCCCCAGTATTTCGGAATTACCAACAGTCAGCTCAAGCCAGACACCTGTAAGTACAAACAACTGTATGTGTTTCAGTCATTCATTTTATCTGTGCAAGTGCTGGGGCTCCTTAACAGAGCTCGCAGAACAAAATGCTCTGAATTCATGGGCATTAAAGAGTGGGGTTAAAATGTATACAATTCGTTAAAGGTACATGGGATGAAGCACTTTACGTCTGTCAAAGCCAAATTCAGCCCTTGTGATGAGTCAGTGAAGTCAGCAGTGTTACACCTAAAGCCCAATCCATATTTCATCAAAGTCATTGGTAGCCTTTCCATTGATTTCAGTGGTCTTTGGCCGGTCCTGTGCACTGAATGTGTTCCTGGGAGAAAACAAATCCTGGGTCAGAAGCAGACGTCAGTATTGCTACATATGTGCTGCTTTTAAATTGGTCATATTGGCAATGAACATAATCTGACTTTGAGATCCGAGTGTTTAAAGTGATAAGAATGATAAGGGTTAAAACTTCAGTTCTTTTAATTTCATTTTATAATACAACCTCTACAGCCAGAAAAAATGTTGAATGTTTAAAAGTAGAGCAAAAGGTTGCATGATGGACAATAAATGTCACATACAATTCTTTCATGTTCACTTAGAAGCAGGTGAAATGTGAAAAAATAATGAAGAGTTAAGGATAATTAACTATGAATAGTGAAAATGGAGTATTCCTAACTTCAGATGCTACTCTTCAAACATAGTAACAGTTTTAGAACTGGACATGTGAAATGCTGATTTTTGAACCAGTGATTAGCATTGCCACAGATAACTGAAAAAATACTTAAAGGATATTGTGTTTCGTGGTAACTGCACTGCTTACTATTTTTCATCAGTATGCTAAGGTCTTTAAGAGTTTCAGAGAAGTTTGTTCCTGCCTCTTTTTCCTCTTTTTTTTTTTTGTGTGAGTGAACATTCGTTTGTGAAGTGTCACTGGAAGTCTGAACTGTTGCTCTGGGAAGTCACTCTAGAGATTCCCAGTATAGCTGGTGAGCATTTGGCTTGCATCTAACGGACTCTACATCCTACCTGTGTCCTACCCTAAATGATAACACTTCATAGCACAAACTGTAGTCTAGGGGCTTACTGCCAAGGTCAGAAACGTTTGCCTCTGGCTTCGCAAAGCTTGGATGCTGTAATAGGAATCTTTCTTGACCTGTGCATGAGGGCAGGTCTATGTATCTTGTGAATATTAATGTATATCTACATCTAGATTGTTGCACTAAGCACAGTCCACAGAAGGATGTTCCTGCAATGCAACAAAGGTCTCTTTACACCTTTTTATTATACATTTGAGTGCCCCCTCAGCAGATGACACTGAATTGAGTGGGAGTGTTGATCTGCTCAAGGGTAGGAAGGCTCTGCAGAGGGGTCTGGACAGGCTGGATCAATGGGCCAAGGTCAATTGTATGAGGTTTAACAAGGCCAAGTGCCAGGTCCTGCACTTGGGTCACAACAACCCCATGCAGCGCTACAGGCTTGGGGGTGAGTGGCTGGAAAGCTGCCCGGCAGAAAAGGCCCTGGGGGTGCTGGTCGACAGCCGGCTGAACGTGAGCTGGCAGTGTGCCCAGGTGGCCAAGAAGGCCAACGGCATCCTGGACTGTATCAGAAACGGTATGGCCAGCAGGAGTAGGGAGGTGATTGTGCCCCTGTACTCGGCACGGGTGAAGCCACACCTCGAATGCTGTGTGCAGTTTTGGGCCCCTCACTGCAAGAAAGACCCTCAGGTGCTGAAGCATGTCCAGAGAAGGGCAACGAAGCTGATGAAGGGTCTAGAGCACAAGTCTTACAAGGAGCAACTGAGGGAACTGGCATTGTTTAGTCTGGAAAAGAGGAGGCTGAGGGGAGACCTTATTGGTCTCTACAACTACCTGAGAGGAGGTTGTAGCGAGGTGGGGGTCAGTCTCTTCACCCAAGTAACAAGCATAAGACAAGAGGAAATGGCCTCAAGTTGCGCCAGGGGAGGTTTAGATTGGATATTAGGAAAAATTTCTTTTCTGAAAGAGTGGTCAGACATTGGCACAGGGAAGTGGTTGAGTCACTACCCCTGGAGGTGTTCAAAAAATGTGTAGATGTAGCACTTCGGGACATGGTTGGGGGGCATGGTGGTGGTGGATTGATGGTTGAACATGATGATCTTAGAGGTCTCTTACAACCTAATTATTCTATGATTCTACCCTGATGTTCCCTCTTACCATATTTTTTTTGTGTGTGGCACTATTTTGTGATTAGAAATCCTCCATTACCTCTTCTGCCAGAGGATATTTGAATGATCTGGCCTAGCGTATGCAGTGGGATGCATAAGGTAATTGCTGAATTGCTGATACTTGGTCACCACAAGAAAAATGTTAGACAGATGCATTCGGATTAGAACATCAATTCCTGTGAAGAATAGAAGCTGCTAGGGAATCAGAAATGAGCAACAGGCCCACTAGATCCCTCTAAGGCCATGCTTTTAAATATGAGGCTACTGTACCTCTGTTCCCAGCTGCATTAGACATTATAATTGTTTAAATAAACATCAGTGACTACAGAGTATTTAACTTTCAGCATTAATGCTGAGACAACATATACGCTGTTCTGTGGAAAAACCCAGACTGTACCAAAACACAGAATTCTCTTACATTTAGTAAGCTGCACATTAAGTATCACGGCTGCTAGTGCTAAGTAGCTCCTGATCCTAAAAATACTTAAGTCTGTGTTTGGTTTTGTGTGCTGCAATGAAATCCACATGATGTCAAGGAAATTAATCACAGTACATGAAATTCAGTTTGTGCATAAATGCTTGAAGGATACGGCTCAAGACTTTGCTATGGTGCTCTGAGGCAGTTTGTGGGGCTGATGCTCTGCATTCTGCCACATTGCCATAGTGGTCCCGGTCTTTGTGGGTTTATTGCTTAGCAAAGATAAACAGGTAAACTGTGGCAGTGTATAAACCAAGGCAGTTTTCTCCTACCACATTGAGCATCTGTCCGTTAAAGAGCATAATTAAAATTGTCTTGGACAAAAATGGTCTTTCCAGAAATAATTTCACATACTTTATCTTTCCATCTCTCTCACTCACATGTTATTACAGAGCTGCCCTTGTCCTTTCTTAACCTGCCAACCTCCTCTTGATGTGTATATCTGGTATTTATAAACCTCTAAGCTAAGTAGCTGTCATACCTTTTTCCTGTTTACAATAATGCCAGCTCCAGATGTCATCTGGTTTCTCATCTTCAGCAAGATAATTAACATTTATGTTTATTTCCTATCTGGTCTAAGTTCCATTGTCCGCTAGTATTAAACACAGCAATTACTAACAGTCATGCTGGAAAAGGTTCTTGTGTATTTAGTGTATGTTGATCTGTGGAAGGAGATGAGACTTTGAGCTAGGTGAAACTGTACACAGATCGTATTACAGTTTTCACAGAAGTTGAAGGAGTATGTCTGCTGTGAGTAGGAAGTGGAGTTTCTTTCTTGTTATCTACTTAAGCCATATTTTGACTTGTCCACAGTTAACCATTTCTGAATACGGTGTGTCAAGATCCATTGCAAATTATTAGATGAGTATGTGATTAAAAGAAAATGTAAAAGTTGATTGCGATCAATTTAGTTTGAAATTCCATCACTGTATCAGTAAATTGGTAGTTTTGCTACTGAATAACTAAATCCCAAAGAGTGATGGCTTCTAAGGAGTCAGTCTCAGGCTAGAAGTTATAGCACTTCCCTCCTCTTGAGAAACGGCTTTCAAGGTAGGAAAAGCAAACTGCTGAAGACCAAAAATCCATCAACTTGAGAGGTCAGGTTCCAGTCATCACTCACAAGGACTGAATTTCTGTCCTAGGTTTCTGCACAAATGCTCATCTGTACCTACATAATGGTACAAAATTACTCTTCATCTTCCACCTGGGATTGGCTGGTATTTCCGACTCCAGGTGCTCATCACCTTAGCTAAACATTTACCTCGCCAGCAAACCCACTGATGCTTTTTCAGCACTTGTCTCTCTGACACCCTATCCCAGCACTCCTGGCTTTTCCTTTCGCTGACATGTACCCTTGGTTACTGCTGGCTGGTGGGCTCATCTGCCACTCCAATATCTTCAGTATTCAGACCCTGAAAGTTTACAGTGCACAGACGTGTTTCAGACATATACCAGACTTCTTGGTTCCTTTCTGTGTGAAATCAAAAGCTGTTTCCTCTTTGGCAGTATTTAACTATGACAGTTCTGATTTCAGATGTGTGAGAGAGCGTCTGTGGCCTGGACATGGTGAAACGCTCTTTACACTGAAGTCATTACAAACCAGGTTGTGCTGTTAATACCATATAATTGCAAAAATTAGTTTTCTACATCTCTGCACAGAAATTGTAGTTGCTGAAGTTGCCAACCAAGCGTACCAGACCTGTTGAAACAGGACAGAAGAAACATTTTCCCCATGAACACCTGTGGACTTCCTTCATTTATCACTTAGCTTGTGGCCCAGTGCTTGGAATATATCAGCCCATTACTATTAGATTTCCATGATTAATGGTGGAAATGCAGTCAGTAAATAACACTGCTGTGTTAGTAGTAATGTGAAAAGCAAAACCTGAGGAGAGGGCATGCATAAAACATCAGTGGAAGTGCCTGGGTTAAGACTCTCAGAGCAGAACTTGGGTAAGGAGCTGCTTGCAGGTGGTTTGGGGATTTTGGGGATCAAATTGTTCTCTGCATCTCACCCCAGTAACCCAAACCCCTGCTTCATGACTTCACTGTGGTTATTGGGTGCAACTGAAAGGAAGGCTTGAGCTTTGCCCTTTCGTGGGAGGTTCGCAAGCTCCAAGTTTCAGAGCCCCTAGTCTGGATAAATATCAGCTGCACTGGTACCAGTTTGCACTTCCCAGATAATCTGTACTTGCAACTCACTCGTTTTTATCCCTAAAGGTATTATCAATGATGGAAACTAGTGTACTGGGCAAACTTGTTGATTAGTTGGTGAGTGGTTTAGTAGCATGATGTTTTCAGTGGCTGGCCATACATATAGCCATTGAAT